GTGTGTGTGTGTGTGTGTGTGTGTGTGTGTGTGTGTGTGTGTCTACTAATGAAACCATTTTATATACCCTTGCCTCCAAAGTAGTAATAAAGCAATTATAATTATTGTGGTCATATAAAGAGGAAATTACTAGTTCAATGTTGTTAATTATAAGAAAATAGGGCACAGGTAAGAATTTTAAGGAAAAAAATTAACCAATATAATCTGAAGTAATCTTGGCTCTGTCCTTAATTAGAATATTGATATTGGCAGGATCTTTAACTTCTCTATGTTTCTATTACACAATGTATAAGACAAGTATTTAAAAAATAGCAGTGATTATCTTACAAGGTTGTAGTGGGGATTAAATCAACAGATGTCTACAAAATATTTAGATCCACTAAACATTTAATTTTAGTTAATATTACTGTTAATATTACCATCAACATAAGTCTCTGAGACTGTTTACTCATCGCAAAATGTATGAGATAATACCAGCCACACAGGATGTTACCAATATTAAGTAGGATCATATATATAGAGCACTCGTTACAATGCCACGAACATAGAAATCAGTTATTGAGGTATATAAAAATTATTAGCAATTGTAATGTTATTGTATTTAGATAACAAGCATTATGAATTATATTTATAGCAGCTTCGGTATACTCTCTTTACATACCCACCACCAAAGCCCTGTTCCTCCTATGTCAACTGTTATAAATAATCTCCTAACTGGGCTTTCTGTCTCTGCCTTCTGTCTCCTTACTGAACCTCACCCCACTTCATCCAAGGCACAGTAAGATCTTTACTAAAATCATATCCCTCATTCCCCTTTCCTCAAATTCTTCTTCATTTTTCCGCTTGTATTTTCAATTTGTGCCAATGGTTCCCCATTTCCTAAGAGTAAAGGGAAAGCTCCTTAACTTTGCATTCATAGACTTTACATCATGTTCCATCTCCCTTTTCTTACTTAGCTGCCACTCTGTGTATGATGCACTACTTTCTGTTAGGCTTTGTCATCTCGGGTGATTATGTGCACAAATATGGTCTTCTACCTATTTGTTTACAAAAGTTTCTCATGTCTACATGCAACAGAATCTTCACCCAGGAGATAATGTAAGTAGTATTCAAGAACTCAGAACTTATCTCAACAACCCCATAAGAATTCATGACTTGGTAGAATCTAGGAATTTATTATTTACTAGAGGAAGAAGCTTAATAAATTCAAGGCTGCATTAATCACAAAGGCTTTTTCTTTTCAGGTAATATAATTAACCATAATATGAAATAATGGAGAATAGGAACAACGTGACAGAGTTTGTTCTACTGGGGCTCACAGAGAATCCAAAGATGCAGAAAGTCATATTTGTTGTGTTTTTGGCCATCTACATCGTCTCTATGGTAGGAAACGTGCTCACTCTGGTCACTATCACTGCCAGCCCATTATTGGGGTCCCCCATGTACTTTTTCTTGGCCTATCTCTCCTTCATTGATGCCTGCTATTCCTCGGTCAATAACCCCAAGTTGATCGTAGATTCACTCCGTGAAAAGAAGACCACCCTATTCAATGCATGTATGACCCAAATCTTTGGGGAACACTTCTTTGGAGGTGCTGATGTCATCCTGCTTACGGTGATGGCCTATGACCGCTATGTGGCCATCTGCAAGCCATTGCACTACACGACCATCATGAATCGGCGGGTATGTGGCCAGTTAATGGCAGTGGTGTGGGTGGGAGGCTTTCTTCATGCAACCATACAGATCCTCTTTATCATCCCATTACCCTTCTGTGGCCCTAACGTCATAGACCACTTTATGTGTGATCTGAACCCTTTGCTCAAACTTGCC